TGACGTCGATTGGACAAGGATCGGACGCATGGCGAGGTTCTGAGGAAGTCGCGTGGGCACGCACGGGATTGTGCGTGGCCACGCACGGCCGTGCAAGTAACCAGTTTGGCCGTGCGGGATTGTGCGTGGGCACGCACGGGCAGAGCAGAAATCCGCACGGCCGTGCAACATATAATCCTGGCCGTGCAGGATTGTGCGTGGGCACGCACGGGATTGTGCGTGGCCACGCACGGCCGTGCACCTGGCCGTGCACCCAGGCCTGAGGCAGACTTAATGATACGGCGCGTTTCAGGGTGCACGGCCAGAATGGTGTTGTGCACGGCCGTGCACCTGGCCGTGCAACTCTGGGAAACCGGTTTTAAAGCCTAATCCGAGCCAAAAGTGGAAGAATCGTGTTTTGAGAGCAAAAACAGAGCCCTAGAGAGAGAAAGTGCGAAGAACACATCCTAGAAGCTGTCCTAGAGCTGGATTTCATTGAATCGAGCCTGGAGATCGTCATAGGAGTGGAAATCATCGTCCCGGAGCAGATTATCCTCATCGTTATGAGTATGACTAATCCGATTCTTGTTTTCTCTTCTCTCTCTATGGAGTAGAACCCTTCTCTCACTTGGGTATGAAGAACCCTAGTTCCTTGTGTTAGGGATTTGATTGTAATAACTTGGGATGATATTACTGTTTGATTTTAATCGAATGATGCATGTTTATTGAATTGATTTGAGTCTGGTCAGCTTTTCTCAATTTCTGCTTCAACCTGAGATAGATAGAATCTGATTAGGTTGTTAGAGCCTCTTCATTCGATAGTAGGAGATTGGCTATACGAGAGTTAGCCAGTTGACTGCTTTGTACTGGTGCTCTTGGCGCCAGTAGTGGAGTTCTGTGTTCATAGCCTCAGCTTTCTATCCCGGTGAAGACTAGTCGTCTGCCGGGTAGTTAGACTGAGAGGGCTTGGTCAACTTAAGAGATTCCAAGCTACTGTCGGATCTTCCGCAGTCTAATCAACAGTAAATCAACCCAGGGAATTGCAATTGAACCTAACTAAGGGGCTAGGGGGACTCAATCCCGAGTGACTCTTGCCTGCTTTAGAAACCCGAACAATTTACTGCTTTCTTGTTGCTTTTACTTTTCACAACAATCACTCGAACTAGTTTGCTAGATAATAGAGATTCACGGAGTAAGCAGTAGATCTAGACCCCGGGTTGATAATTAAACTTGCCTATACTGCAGTCCCTTTCATTGGTTACACTTGGCCATTGTTAGGTGTTGTGTTTTAGCGTGTCAGAAGGCTAGTCGCCTGCCGGGTATTCTGTCTGAGAGGGCTTGGTCAGCTTAAGAGATTCCAAGCTAATTTAGGATCTTCCGCAGTTTAATCAACAGTAGATCAACCAAAGGTAATTGCAACTTGGACCTAATTGAGGAGCTAGGGGGAATCATACCTAAGTGAGTTCCCAACTTGTAATTAGTAGAGTAGTCAGTAAAGTAGTTTATCAATCAATTCTTAATCTAGTTTGCTAGATAATGAACTGAAGCTGAGTAATAGTAACTCTAGAGACCCGTTGATTCGATATTTATTACTTGTGCCACTATACTGCAGTCCCTTTCATTGGTTACACTTGGCCATTGTTAGGTGTTGTGTTTTGGCGTGTCAGTATCCAAAATATTCGGCCCGACAAGGCCCATTTACAGATCGTGTTGTGCCCATACTCGTGCCGTGCTCATGAAGTTTAGGACCTACACGACCCATGAATTATTTGTATTTGTGCTGGGCTAGCTCATATATATCGTACACGTGCTCATCTCGTGCTCTAACCGCGCCGAGTAGGCTGTGGGCGGCCCGGCTCGGTGCCCAAGTACAATGAGAATGACCTCCATTTAAGAAACTGTTGTGGTAAGGATGAAGGATTTTGTTCTTAAATTAACGCTTTTATAATTTATGTTTCTGCTGCTGGTTATTTCTTTTTCAAGGTGAGGTTGGGGATAGGTATCTTGAGCAATAAGAGTTCTAGTGATTGTTATCTATTTATTTTGTAATCCATTGTCTAAATTGTGAAAGCTAGTAGTTATCATTTAATTTGGTCATTTCTAATAGTGAGCGATTTATATTGATTTTTTTCTTATAATTTGTATTGCTGACTCTGAAAACTTGGAGTATTTGTACATGCTTAGAAATCGTGACGAAACAGTTGGCTGAGGAAAATAACTGCCGCGGGTCATTAATGCGCATATTGAGCTATAACTGCCGCAGTTTGGGGAGTAAGCGGGCAGTTAGATCTCCCAAGTCGCTCTTGCGGCTTTATTCCCCACATGTTGTTTTCTTGATGGAAACAAAACAGTTGGCTGAGGAAAATAAGGTGACTCAACTAGAGTTGGGTTTTGAGGGTGGAGAAGGCTGGTCCACGGACCAATCTGGTGGTGGTCGAGCTGGGGGTCTTAGTTTGTGGTGGCGGAAAGGTGTAAATATTCAGATTATGTCTCTCTCTTTACATCACGTGGATGCTCGAGTTACTGAGGATGAGGGTGGTATATGGAGGTTCTCAGGAGTCTACGGATGGCCTGGAGAAGCGGATAAGTGGAGATCCTGGGAGCTCATTCGACGACTAGCTGCACAGTGGGAAGGTCCTTGGTTGTGTGGTGGGGACTTGAATCAAGTTCGGTTTACAGAAGAGAAACGTGGAGGTGGTTTGGTAGCCGATGCGGCGATGCGTGAGTTCGATGAATGCCTGAGTGATGTGGGTCTCTGGGACCTGCGCTACAACGGATACCCGTTTACATGGGAAAACCGGCGAACTAATGGTGGTTTTATCGAGGAGCGCTTGGATAGGTTTGCTGCGAACGATGCGTGGTGTGGTACTTTCTCGGTGGCCCGAGTGCTCCATCTCGATAAAGAGAGGTCGGATCATAGGCCGATTGTGTGTGATACGCAAGGAGAAGCGGATGTCGAGCCTAAATGGGGATGGTCATTTAAATATGAACCTCACTGGGCGAAGCATGTGGACTGTCCCAAGGTGGTGGAGGAGGTTTGGAGGAACCAAGCAGGAGCCGATACTCTAACAAAGCTTTTGTCTTGCAGGTCATCCCTTGAGCACTGGAGCAAGGAGACATTCCCTCGGTTTGGAACCCAGAAAGCTAAAATAAAAAAGGCTATGAAAGCCCTGGAGAGAAGACCTCGCACAGCCGTTTGGGATGATCAGCGGAGACAGCTTGAGCTGGAACTTGCTGAGCTAGAGGCGAATGAAGAACTCTACTGGAGCCAGAGATCAAGGGCGGACTGGCTGCAGGGTGGTGACAAAAACACACCCTTCTTCCACAAAAAAGCCAGTGCACGCCGGAAAAGGAACACGATTAGACGAGTCAAAGATGGAGCGGGAGTTTGGCATACACAGCCAGAGCAGATTTTTGCTTGTTTTACTGACTATTTTTCTAGCTTGTTTTCAGCTACCTGCCCGCCCACGGACTCTCCAGTCCTGAATGCCATTCAGGCGTCGATCACTCAAGAGCAAAATGAGGAACTTGTGAAACCGTTTGACAGGGAGGAAGTTTACCGTGCTCTAAAACAGATGGGCTCGAGAAAGGCCCCGGGAGCGGATGGGTTCTCGGTTCTATTTTTTAAGAAGCACTGGGAGGTGGTAGGGGATGATGTTGTTGCTACGGTATTGAGTATTCTGGAGGGAGGCCCGATGCCGCCACAACTCAACCACACCCTAATCGCTCTGATCCCGAAGATTAAAGAACCGAGCACCCCCAAAGACTTTCGCCCTATCAGTTTGTGCAATGTGTTCTATAAACTGGTGGCTAAGGTATTGGATAATAGATTAAAGATGATTTTGGACCTTGTGATTTCGCAGGAACAAAGTGCATTTGTCCCAGTTCGGTTTATCACGGATAACATTATGGCAGCTTTTGAATGCTTCCACACCATGAAGTCCCGATCACAGGCGGGGGTGGGGATATTTGCGGCTAAGATCGATATGGCCAAATCTTACGACCGGGTCGAGTGGCATTTTCTGGAGGGGGTGATGTCCAAGATGGGCTTCGATCGGCGCTGGATTGACCTGATCATGAAGTGTATTAGCACGGTCTCTTATTCGGTCCTAGTAAACGGGCATCAGTCGGAGACGTTTGTGCCGAGTCGGGGTCTTCGACAAGGTGACCCGCTATCTCCGTACCTATTCCTGTTTTGTGCGGAGGGGTTGTCTGCGATTACGAAAGCTCCGGTTCAGGATAAGAGACTCCACGGTCTAAAGCCAGCTCAGGGAGCACCGGCGATTTCCCACCTGTTTTTTGCAGATGACAGTGTGTTCTTTGGGAGGGCCACGGAGCAGGAAAGTGGTGTGTTAAAAGAAATTCTTACCCAATATGAGAAAGAATTAGGTCAACTGGTGAATTTCTAGAAATCGGCTATTTGCTTCAGCGGGAAAGTTAAGACTCACCAGAAGCTTATGATTAGTGGTACTCTGCAGATGTCATTGGTGGAAAAGCATGACAAGTACCTGGGGCTCCCTACTGTTGTGGGTCGATCCAAGAAAGAGGTATTTAATGGTCGAAAGGAAAGAATTAGGAAGAAGCTGAAGGGTTGGACAGAGAAGACCCTCTCGGTGGCGGGGAGGGACACCCTGATTCGCTATGTTGCTCAGGCCCAGCTCACTTATGCCATGTCTGTATTCCGAATCCCGAGTACTATCATTAATGAGATTCATAGTCTAATCATAAATTTCTATTGGGGGCAGAAAGGATCCGAGAAGAGAATTCATTGGATAAATAGAGAAGGTATGTTAGTGCCGAAAGAGGAGGGCGGTCTTGGGTTCAGGGATCTTGAAGGCTTCAACACTGCCATGCTTGCCAAACAATTATGGAGGGTGTTTCAACGCCCCAACTCCCTGATCGCCCAAATCTTGAGAGCCAAGTATCACAAGCATAGCTCGATTTTGGATGCAAGTGTAGGCTATCGACCAAGTTTCATATGGAGGAGTCTCTGCAGCGCGCAGGAGTTCCTCAACGGTGGTCTGCGCTGGTGCATTGGGAACGGAGCGGATGTGAGAATTTGGGGTGACCGCTGGCTTCCAGGGGGCTTGCCTGATTTCGTCCCCTTGGCTCCGCGCGGACTCCCAGTGGATTCCAACGTCAGACAACTTATTGACCCAGTAACAGAGAGGTGGAATTGGGAAACCATTGAAGAGTGCATGCCAGCTGAAGTTGGTCAGCGCATATTACAAATCCCGTTAAGAGGTAATGGTGAAAGAGATAGTTTAATCTGGTCAGCAAGTGCGTCGGGAGAATACATTGTCAAGGAAGGGTACAAGTATTGGCTAGACAACTTCCTCCGAGAACGCGCTATGACCCCGGTTGGTGATGCGGCCATTTGGAAGTACCTCTGGTCAATGAAAATTCCTCCTAAAATCAAGCATTTCATGTGGCGCTTTATGAGAGGAATCCTACCGGCGGGCGACAAAATCAGTACAAAGAGTACGAAGTGGAGTGACAAATGTCCATTCTGTGATAGCAGGGAAACCCAGGTGCATTTTTTTGGAGACTGTGGATGGACCTCTAGAATACGGACGACAGAGGACTGCTACCGATGGACCGTTGAAGCTATGGCCGGGAGGGATAAGGAGGATGTCGAAGCCTGGTGTATTGTTCTTTGGTTCTTGTGGCGGGAACGCAACGCCCAGCTCTTTAATGGCAAAAAAATGACCGAGCAGGAGATTATCCCCCGAGCACAGGCGTTTCTCTCTGACTACAGGTCCCAGCAAGCTGGCGTGATGATCCAAGGGGAAGCGAGGGGTAATGTTAAGTGGTGTGCACCGGATCCTAGACGCATAAAGATCAACACGGATGCGGCCATCCTTCAGGGAGATGGAATCGTACTAGGAATGGTAGCTCGTGATTCACAGGGCCAGTTCCTAATGGCGGCATCTATGAAAATTCCTGGTAGATGGGAGGTTGAAGCGGCAGAGGCAAGGGCAGCGGAGTTTGGTGTGCAAATAGTGCAGCAGCATCATCTTATGAACCTTGTCATTGAGGTTGACAGCCTGGGATTGGTATAAAAAATTCAAACAGCCGAGGATATTAATTCGGAGATTGGCGTAATTTGCAAAAGCATCCGTCGCATTCTTGAAGAGTCAGGGACAGGAACTTGGCAGCATGTCTACCGAGATGGGAATAATGCAGCTCACATTATGGCACATACGGAAACGAGATGGAATGAATGTATAGCCTGGATGGATAGTCCCCCTTTCTTTTTAGTTGACCAGTTGCAGCTGGATAATGTAACCGCCAACACTGGTTAATAAGAAGTCCCACAGATTCCTGTCAAAAAAAAAAAAAAAAAAAATAGTGACGAAGAGGAGAACTAAGATCGAAGTGGTCCAAGTTCGCCTAAATGAAGGGTTCTGAGAAAGGATATTAGAGAAGAGGTTCCCTAAATTCCTCGCTAAGTTCTTGGTTCTTAAAACCCTAGTTTTCAGAAACGTACTCTACTTTTACAATTTAATCTGACTCTCCTGTTCATCATTGAAAGAGGGAGGGATACGAAGGAGGGCCTGAGGAAGAGAGAAATAAGGAAGCTGTGCACTAAGAATGAAAACTCACCCGTCACTCCGGGTTTGATTTCTTACTCTTAAGGCTTTATCTTTATCACTTTAATTCACCAGAAATATAAATATTAGATTTCTTTGTCTAGACATCCGTTTAGAAAATATTTTTATAAACAACTTCTATTTTGAGTGGTGATTTAGTGAGTTCAAGGTTGAGCCAAGCTTCTAGCAATCCCAATGACATTTTTTCTTCTTAACCTAACCTCCTCCTCCATCCATTTCGGGAAAGATAGAGGAGCTCCTCTGCATATGCATTTTTAATCCACTATTAGAATAAGTTTCCCAAAATTTAGCTTGAAATAAGAGTTCCTATTTAGCTAAATGAGAACTTGTTCTTTCTGAATTAGTGAAACCAGAATTACATGACTAGACGTATGAACTCCGAGGGAAAGAAGAAGCAAAATAAGAGGTGTGGAAGTGGTTAGCTTCTTTATCTGTGGAAGGTGTTGTTTAGGTAGAAGGATAGTCCAGCGAGGGTGGCAAGTCGGCAACTCCAATCACAGCAGTTGTAGATGTCGCAACCACCCCTCACGTGGTCGTGAGATCTAGACTACGTTGGCGTCAAGGCTAGTAACCTGACATGGTCAGGAGATCTAGACCAAGTTGGTGTCAAGCTAGGTAGGCCTCGTCGCGAGATCTAGACACCGTGTCGGCTGCGAGACGTAGAAGGCCCTCGTCTTGAGATCTGGAATGACCATGGTAGAAGGGAGTCAAGTAACAAGATATCAGCTCCAAGAGAAAGGGTAAGCAGTTAACATAGCAACTGCCGATTATCCCAAGTACAAGGACTCGTCAGCAACGTCCGAGGAAGAAGGGTAGCAGTTCTTTTTGGAAGTTACTCTCAGACGGTTTCTCTACGACGGTTACCATTTCAAGGCTATAAATAGGAAGAGGATCAGTTGACAGAGAAAGGGTTCACAAAAATCACTACTCGGCACCACTTGTCAAGCTTTTGTCATTTTATCTTTCCTCTGCAAATTTTAGCCGTAGTCGTATATCTGGAGCTCTCACTGAACCTCCATAGGAGTAGAGTAATTTAATGTAGATTTATGTATCGTGAGTCATGTAAACATCGAACATCCTCATTCGAACTGTGTTTGAAGAGGTGTGGACCGTGTTTAGTGATAGTTGTTCAAGAAGTCAAGGTGCAATCAATTCGATCTCACATTCTCAACGCAGGTTTTCTCACCGGAAAACACTTATCCATGAATTATTAACAACCTATTATTTTTAGTAGTTGAATCATCGATTATTTGTGTAATTCTATGAAAAATTTTCATCTACTTAGTTTTGTTTTTTCATTATGTCATGGGGAAAATTTTTGTCAGTATTTACGGGAAAAAAAATTATCGGCCCCTCTAATTTTAAATCTGGTTCTGCCCCTACATTTCAAGTCATACTCTCCAACCTAATTATGTCGTGAAGTTTCAGGTTTTAGGCCTTAAATTTTTAGTAGGACAATTAATAAGGACAAAATGGTGTGTCTCGGGTAGAGATTAGATTTCTTTGTCCAAACATTCCCTTTAGAACATCAAACATGTATATAAACCGGTTAAATTGCGATTGATGATGTAAATGCTTATTGTTCTTGTAGGCTATCGTGCGATATTTGTCAAACTAGGTGGAAGATTTAAGTGCGCCACAACTGTCACCCCTCTAACTTTGCAAAAATGGGCAACTAAATGTGGAGAAAGGGGTTAATGAGATGGATATTTAATACCCTTCTACCCAAGTCCCCAAGCGAGACACAAAAAGGCACACAAGGTGGTGTCACGGACATAGACTTCCGAAGTCCGTGCGGCGTCTTGAGGTGCACTCATTCCTCAAGACCAGCCTCTCTGCATACGCATGCCAACTTTGCCCAAGGCTGCAATCCGAAAAGGAAGCCAAACAAAGCCTCCTTGTACGGAAGATCGAGGATCTCGAGTAGCAATTCCGAGAACTCCTTGACATAGTCACGAATTCCGCCGGTGTGGGTGAGTCGTTAAAGCTTTGCACAAGCTTCCATTTCCACATTCTCCGGGTAGAATTGCCTTTTGATTTCCCGACGGAAATCTTCCCATGTGTCAATCACACATGTGGCTCTCTCTATATCACCATGCCTCCTCCTCCACCACACCATGGTCGTGTCGACCAAGTAAAGGGAGGCGGTGTGCACCATGACTTCATTGTCATTGCTGCCCGAGGCCTTGAAATACTGTTCTAGGCTCCAGAGGAAATTGTCTAATTCCCTCGCATTCCTCGACCCACCGAACTTCTTTGGCCTTGGAACATCTACTCGTGGTGTAGATTGAGTCGCGGCAGGTCCATTAGCCACGACTCATTTGACGAGATTGAGCTCTCCTCGAAGCTCGTCAAATTCTTCCCTCACTTCGTCCACCTGGCCTCGAACAGTCTCCCTCAAGGAGTCGATGGCGTTGGTGATGATGGTCACAAACTCGTCTCTGAAAGCTTCTAACCCCACTCCAAGCCTGACATTCGAGTGCCCATGCCTTGCATGTCGTCCTTCGAAGTCTGCACCTCTGTGCTGACTTGATCGAATTTCAACTCCATGTCCTCGAACAGGGTTGTATACTTATCACGGACATAGACTTCCGAAGCCGTGCGACGTCTTGAGGTGCACTCATTCCTCAAGACCAGCCTCTCTGCATACGCATGCCAACTGGTTTCACCCTGCCTTGGGCTCATCAGGGAGACGACAATAGCCTCCGACCAGTTATGCCTTCTCTTGCAACGATCCCCTTCATAGCCACATCCTGACTCGGCCAGATGCGATGCATAGGCAGACAATGCCTTATCGCTAATGTTGCCCCCTTTACCCTTCTCATGGCAAGACAACCAGATGGAAGCGTTCTTCAGACGATCAACACGGTCACGAAATTTCGGGTCGTGACATTCTCCACCACTCATAATGCAGCACGTCCTCGTGCTGGTGAAGAATGCTTCTCTCCGCAGCATGTATTGCAACTCTCGAACCGATTGTGGGCGTCCGCATACGATACCATCCTCTGATGGACAGGCTCCGGTCGCGTCTCTTGCGCTAGCCTGCTGTGCCCTGCGCACATACTGCTTCGCCCCTCGACATCAACCTTCACTCTTTGCTTCTGCTGCGCTAGTACCTCATTCGACCTTCACCCTACGCTACTCCCAGCGTTTGTACCTCAATCGACCTTCACCCTACGCTCTCGCTAGCGTTAGTTCCTCGGTTGAACGACAATCTCGGCCGCTGCATCTTCAGCCTATCGAGGTCCCCCACAACGGTGCAACACATGTGTATCTGCGTCCGGACCGACTTATATGCTCACCCAGGACCGCCTCTCATTCGGGCATAGGGTCGGCCCATACACGACCTATGTCGTACTGAGAGAGGAACTAGGCTCTTCAGCCTAACCAGAATCTGATACCACTTGTCACGGACATAGACTTCCGAAGTCCGTGCGGCGTCTTGAGGTGCACTCATTCCTCAAGACCAGCCTCTCTGCATACGCATGCCAACTGGTTTCGCCCTGCCTTGGGCTCATCAGGGAGACGACAATAGCGTCCGACCAGTTGTGCCTTCTCTTGCAACGATCCCCTTCATAGCCACATCTTGACTCGGCCAGATGCGATTGTCACGACCCAAAATGTCGTGACTGTGTTGATCGTCTGAAGAACGCTGCCATCTGGTTGTCTTGCCATGAGAAGGGTAAAGGGGGGCGACATTAGCGATAAGGCGTTGTCTGGGTGAACAAATTACAAGACCAAAAAACACCATACAATAACACCCTGGTACGGGGTGGTATCTTATGGTATACAATATTAAAAGTCGTAAATGACAATTAATATACTTCTACTATCATGTATTCAACCGTCCTACAGTTTTGGTTTGTGTCATACCACCATGGTACGCTTTTCAAACCATAGGTATGCTCTTATTTCAATACCAGTCAATACCATATGGTATAGACTGGTAAAAAATGGCTCAATTTTTTTGTTCAAAAAATATATCAAAGTGGATATCATTTTGAAGAGCACAATTAATCTGATCTAACTGTGCAAAAACTTAAATTTCGACTTAAAACGAGTGAGAAATCGTCCGTCAAAGATTAAGGAGGGGAAAATTAAAGGCTTTTCAGGAGAGAGATGATGCTGATGTCATGCTGATGTGGGCGTGTTACTCATAATTACTCACCATAAGGTTAGTGACCTGATCCGTTCCCATTCTCCCCCACTAGGGTAGGAGAGATCAGCGTTACCATCGCCGCCATGTAAGGGACGACGTCAACTTTCAAACCCTAATTACCCAGACACTTGCTCCGATAAAAACAGAGCTCTTTCTTTTATTGGCATCATTATTATTAGTAGTAGTATTTTATTCATATTAGGTTTATTATTAGAATTTCTTATTATTTTCCCTCTCGCTGCTAAGACCAATTCGCTAAATTCCCAATTCCCAAATATTATACCCGACAGAAAATAGGGTTCTATCAATGAGTTTTTCGATAGTGATTGCACAAGCTAGTTCAAACCATGTGTGATTAACCCACAAATGTTGTTTTATTTTTGCTACGGTTAAATGATAGTCTTGCATAACAAGCAACACAGTAAAAAAGTGCGATTTTACGTAGAAGCGTTTTGGTGATCTAAAAGAATAAAAGTGAACCTATTAAGCGCGATTTTGACTTATTAGTTAGAAAAACGTGATTCTACGAAGA